AACTCTTGCAAATCTTTCTATTTTCATAATAATACTTTATTTTTCATAGGTACTGTTTTTAATCTAAATATTACTAAGATTAAAGTCATATTAAAATAGATATTCATTTTTGCTCAACAAATAATTATAATCTTACTCGCAAGTAGTGGCGTAGTTAGAGCCGGTGCAATCGGGACAACGCACTGACGAGCCACTAAAAAATTTGCACCGAGTAGTTTGAACGGTTGAAAACGCTTCTATCCACAAGCTAGCGGGACCAAACATGGCAAACGTTCCCAGGTACCACGGGTGACTGTCCTAATGTTTTTCGTTTTTTTTTTTCAGGTAAGGACTCATCTTAGGGTAGTTGTATAAAGTAATTGGGATGATGGGGAGGGTCTTGATCAGTACATTGGAACCTCTGTTATTCTTCACGGAACCTCGCAGCAGAGCGTAGGGATTTTATGATAGTATTAAATTAACATGACATAGATCTATAGCTAAATAAAGAATACGAACCCACATTTCTATAATAGAAAAATGAATAATGAAAACTATGGAAGTAGTTTATGTCTTAAATTTTGTAAACAAAAAATAGAGTTATTCTTTTAAAAGTAAAGAGCCTGTTTTTTACTAATTATAGGGGGCGTTACCGTTGAGCACATGGTACAACTGTTCCTTCAGTGATGTTTAGTTTGTTGCTTACTCAGGTACATCATTTTATTAATCTTTGTTCCTACTATCGTTAAATTAAATGCTGATCCACTTTGTATATTTTTTTAAGTGATATCGTAAGAATATGCTCCATAGCACAATTTAAATCAAAGTCGTTTGCACTGGTTGCAATTATAAATCGTAATAAACATAGTAATGTAATGACGTTATTAACATGTTATGTAAAATAATACTAATAGTAATTAGTACACGAATATACAACAAGTAAAATCTGATTGTACAGTTTAATGTTATGTTGCTCTCTGATGGCTCGGCGGTAAGCTTGAGAGTTTATGATGCTAAAAATCAGGGTTTGATGCCCATTGTGTAGTTTTGCACTTAAACTTTAAGTTTTAATACAAAATAATAATGAAGGTTTTTACTATTAGATATCTTGCCTTGAATATTATGGTATAACGAATATGGTGACATGGGAGAAAATAACCTAGCCAATTGGATGCTTATGAAGTTGGTAGAAAAGTAAGGGAGTGAATTGAAAATTAGCACAGAAGTTGACAGCCAACAGTAGTGATAAGTGAGATTTTTTTATAACTGATATCAGACTTGTGGCATACCTCAGAGGTCTGTTTTAATACAAATATCAATGATCCATGTTGCCTTCAAGGCTGTCCTTGCACATCCACTCTTGAGAAAGGTGAAAATTTATATCTGCTCTTTATTTTTCAGAAAATCTTTGATTCCCCTCATGAAGTCTTATAGGTTATAAAATGTTGGCCTTTACTACTGTCAGTAGCAACTTATTCTATAACTTATAAGCCAATCACTGTGTTGGAGAAAACTGTATTAACTTGACACTAGCCTTCTATTTCCAAATCATAAACTTGTGTCCTCCATAATTATCCTATTGTCTTCAGAAAATAGCACGACAAAATCAAGCTTTCATCCTGTCGTTACAACGGATAATCTTACAAACTTCAAGAACACCACTTACCTTCATTTCTCAAGAGAACAGTTCAGAAGACCAAATTGTACACAGTATTCCAAGTGAGTCCTAACTAGTGGTTTGCATAATATAAATACACCTTAAAATTTTGTAAGATTTACTACTACAGAGAATTGCCTAAATGGTTTGATTTACTTACCTACCAAGATGTCAAGTTTTTTTCTTTAGACATAATAATTAATTAATTTTAGTGTGTTCCCATTTATATAAAATGTGTGACCCAAGTTATTATAACTCAAAGGCATTACATAACATAAAATTTAAGGACAACAAAAAGCCTGTTGGTCCATCTAAGCTGCCTCATCCACTAAATTAGACTTAAATAAAATGAATATTGAAGAAAACAATAACCTCAAACCAGCTTTTAATATTTAAATATATTATTCAAGCCTTAAATGTATTGAATCCACTATATCTAAAGGCAACCCATTCAAAAAGCCAGCTGTCCTGTTAGAGAAATAAAACTGTCTTAGCTGAAGATGACTCTCGGTCTGCCAGAATTTGTATTTGTATCCTCTAGTCATCTCATTCTCACCACTAAGTATTAAAAAAAAATTATGCCTCGACACTATCAATTGCTTTGATGATCTTAAACACTTCAATCAGATCTCTTCTTACTCTTCTTTTTTTTTTCAAGAGAAAACAAATTCACAGATATTAACCTGTCATTGTATGACAACTCTTACATCCTTCTGTGAACCCTTTCCAACAATTCAGTGTTCTTCCTAAGATAAGGAGCCTGAGATTGAACACAGTATTCCAAATGTGGTGTAACCAGTGACCTATACAATGAAATTATAACCTCAGTAGACCTGTGTTCAGTATTTTCTTGGCTATAATCTAAATTGTTCTACCACAAGCAACAACACACTGCTTAGCTGGCTTAAGAGACTGAACAGTTAGAACACCAAGATACTTTACTTCTATTACACTGTTAAGGCCATTCCCATTAAAATTATGCCAACCCACATGCATTACCTCACATTTATTATAATTAAAATCCATCACCAAATTGCCATATAATCTAAATTCTGTTGTAAAGCAGCAGCATCTTTCTCACAGCCAGCACCACCCAAGACCTTAATATCTTCAGTAAATTTAAGTGATTTATTGACCACTACTTTAACTTTGTCATTGAAGTAAATCAAAGAGAGCAAAGGTCCTAACACTAAGGCCTGAAGTACCTTTCACTTCCAGTAAAGATCATTTGTCAAATCTTTGTCCAACTTACTAATTGATCCATTTCATTTCATAGTATCTCAACATTCTCAATACAACTAGAGTACAAATATCCAAGAGTTTAATGTCAACAGCAAACTTTACTAATTATTTCTCCTTTCAATATCATTAAATAAGAAAAGTCATAGGCCCAAGCTCTGACCTCTGAGACATTCCACTAGTGACATGTGTCCAGTTTGATTGAACTCGGTAACAACCTTTTTGCTTTTTCCTATCCAACTACCATACAGTGTAATTAACTAGTTTCTCTCCAGTCCCTACCAATATAAATTTCTTAGCTAATCTTCTGCATGGCATTTCATGAAGAGCTTTTTAAAAACCTAAGTACATCAAATAACATCTTCAAAAATAGTTAAAAGTAAGGCAGTATTTCCCTTTCCTGAATCTATGTTGGCTTTCTTTTATGAAATTTCATTAACTGACTTTTTCCAGGCCAACTTGTATCACCTTCAAAAATAGGAGTAATGTTAGCAACTTTCCAATCCTCAAGTATCTGCCTACTGTTTACTGACTTACCAAAAATGAAAGAGAGGCTGACATGTCTTAGTGCTTTACCTTATTTTAATCTCAGTCTTTAAACTTACCACCAAAAGATTAATGTCAACATTAATATTGGGTCAATTTGAATACATCCCATAGAATAATCAGGGTCAGAAATATTGCTTGTATCTTCCCTTGTAAAAGCAGAAAATAAAATATTTAAAAGCTTAACAATCTTGTGGTCTTCAACAAATATTTTCCTATAACTGGACAATTTAATTGATATAATTTTTTACTTGTGAAAAGCAATTACCTTGATTAATGTCACATAAACTAATGGATTAATCAAAATTACGATTCAGTTGGTTAATTATTATTATTGTTTATTATAGCTGTTTTCAGTCATTTCAACAGTTGATTTATTGAAGTTATGATTAAAGCAATTGTAAGAAAAATAATCAACTAATTGAAATTAGTATTTTTTGATTATTACAACAATTGATTAACCAAAATTTGGTTATATTGAGTGTCACAAAAATAATAAGCTAATTGGAATTAGTGTTTCCAGATTTTAATATTTTAAAATATTTCAGTAATCTAAGTAATCAAAATGTTGCTTTTATATTTGTTTGCTAAGGACAAAGCTTACATGATGGGCTGTCTGTGCTTAACTTCTCCCTCACTGGTGATTCAATAGTTTTGTATTATATTCCCAGTGCCACCAAACTTGCTCACCTCTGCTTTATTATGGCAGTTAATAAGCTATCTGTCAATATCATTCATTTTGAACTACTGACTAGAGGAAAGGTGACTGTCTTGCAACACTTGCCACCCATTTTTATATCTCTTGAACCTGCTGACAACTTTTTTTTGTTTTTCTCTTTGAACTGCTGACTAGAGGGAAGGCAACTAGCTGGCAGCACCTGCTTGCAACTTTTTTCTTTGTATTAATGGATAAAATTATTGTACTCAATTAATAGGACTGTTGATTAAATGATTAGCCAATACCACTAATTGCCCAGCTCTGTCCATTACAGGCCCAATCCCCATTATAACATTTTGTGTACCTTTAAAAATATAAAATCCTTGCTGTTAGTTTTAACATTATCAACCAGCTGTTTCTCAATAGTTCTTTTTTTTTAATTTCTTTTTTCTGTCTTAACCAAATCCTGAGCTTTCCTATAGTTCTATAGATCTTCCATCTGTGTAGGACAGACATAAATTTTTTTTTTTTATACACAGAGAGGTAGAATCTTACGTGAGGTCTGATGGTTTTTTTCTTCCTGTTGGCTGTAAGGCTGAGTTTGTGGGAAATCAAGTGTGGACTAGTGAGAATATGACTATTTTTCCAGCACCTTTCTTTGCTCAGACGGCTATTCCTGAATCTCGGATAGACATCCTGCCTCTTGCACTCTTTTTCTTACTAGTATGCCATGTTTGTAACATTTAGAGTATTTATCCTGTAGCTTATGAATCTTTACCTTCTTTATTGGGAGAAACTAGTGCATCTAATTATTTGGTCCTTCCACCATTGCCAAACAAGAAGATTTGAATATCATTTGAGGGAGAGTGCTGCCATGCCTTGTTCTCCTCATTTATTGGATCAGCATGCCTTGGCTTTCCATCGCCTGGTTGAACCATTATTCGGACTCTCAGAGGGTAGATCCTCTACTTCTTATTTGGGGCTCAATACAAGATTCCACAATTCATCTTACACATTCTCAGTTTTCCAGAATTTATTTGTGTTTTACAACAGTTTTCCATTTTTTATCATCTTTGCAATTTTTTTTTGAGGCCTATCATAGGTCCTCTGCTCTAATTTCGGAGGATCTTGGTCATTTACTGACTTCCACTTTGGTCAGGTTATAGGCTTCTGCTCTCTCCTTGGTATCTTGGTTGGTTTGTTGCTGGGATATTTTGGAAAGAGATGCCTTACTGGAGGGAGTCCACCTTCCTGCATTGGTCTTTAGGGTTCTAAGAGAAGCTCCTTTTCTCAGACAGTCTTTTTTCTTTTTTTGCAGGAATTCCAGAATCCATGGAATCTGAAGTAGATGTGGCTCATCTACATTCTTCATTTTCTACAGTACCTTCTTGACTGTCCCAAAGTTTTTCTCCAGGGTTGAAATCACCCTTGTGTTCCAATGGATTGTGGCACCAAAACAGGAGGCCTAAAAACATGAACAGGAGATGTAGTAAAATGTTCTGTAGGAGTGCAGATTTTGGCATCAGGTCCTGTGGGGTCTCGTTTCAAAGGGTTCATGTCTGTATGGGAGACATTCACCACACATCAGTGGGTCATTCAACTTCTCAGGAGGGGATTGGGCATTTATTTCATGTCCCCTCCTCCTCTGTCTCTAATACCAGTTGGCTTTCCACTCCCCAAATACCATCTTACATCCAACCATCGAGCACAAGCCATCCAGGATCTTCTGCACAGTGAGGTCATAGAGATCGTCACCTCCTTTCAAGGGTTTTATTCTTGGCTGTTTGTAGTGCTGAAAAAGACTGGCAAATGACAACTGGTCATTAGCCTTTCTTGTCTTACTCACTTCCTCCTTCCTCCTCAGTTTACAATGGAGTCATTTCTTTCTCTTCAGTGGATCTTTTCACCAGGACTGTGGAAGACAAAATTTGACATAGAGATGCTTAACTTCATATCCTGGTCATTGAGTCTTCAAGGCGTTATCTCCATTTTGTGCATGACAACCAGGTTTTCAGTTTCATGCTCTACCATTTGGCCTCGAATCTTCTCTATACTTTTTTTTACCAGATAGTCAGAATTTGTTTGCATCATCTTCACTCCCTCAGCATTCACACTCACTAGTACATGGAAGGCTGGCTTCTTCTCCTGCCCTTCCTGCCATTTGGCAGAACTCCACACTCAAATTCTAGTATCAGAAGCTGAGAGAGTTGGGTGTCTTATCAAAAAGGAGAAGTCTGTTATTACTCTCACACAGTACTTCATACACTTAGGGGTGTTTTCAATTCCAGACTCAGCTGTGGCCATCCTTCTTCCATACCCCTCCAGGCTATGGAACAGGTGGTTCTTCAAATACAGTTGTCTCCTTCTCCACCAGCATGCACAGTTCTATCTCTTTTTGGGATGTGGGCATCCTTGGAATCACTCATTTCTTTAGGTTGGGTGGCCTACATGAAGGCCCTACAAGGGTCATTACAGGACCAGTGGAACATTTGGACAGATGCATTGGATTGTCCAGTGACACTGCTGGATCTCAGCTGGTGGTTGAACAGGGACAACTCAACTGTAGGTGTCCCTCTACCACCTCCACAGCTAGAGATACTTCTGTTCACTAATGGTTCTCTTCAGGGTTGGGGTGCTTGTATAGACAATATGGAATTCAAAGAACTTTGGACTCTAGAGGAAGCCTCTCTCCACATCAATCTTTTAGAACTTTTAGCTGTTCATTAATTCATGACTCAGGGTCTCAAACTGTTGCGAGGGAAGATGGTAATGCTTCATTTGGACAATTCCACTGTAGTCTCATCCTTTTCAAAGCAAGAGGCACTCACTCCCATCAAAGTTAATCAAGCCCTACATACAACTTTGTGTGTTTTGTGTATTTGACAAATGTGGAAAATTTGTTTACGTAATGTTCAAAAACTAAAACAGTAAATTAGCAAGTTGGCAGTAATGAAATACAGTAGTCACTTTTCTCTGTTTTTAGGTATACTGACATCTGAGACTTTTATTTGCCATGGAAGGAGATAGAAAAAGTGATAGTGACAGTTCTGATTGGGAGGATGCTGAAGAAATGGAAAAAGATATTCCTGTCACGCCAGCAATGTGTTTGTTCTGTGAAGTTACTTTTCCTCATACAGAAGAGGTCTTTGAACACATCAAAACAGATCATTCATTTGATATAATAAAATTTGGTGTCAGATTTCATCTGGATGCTGTTTTATGGATTAAGTTTGTGAACTTCATGAGGAAACAGGTAATTATTATTTGATGTATGTACATTAAGTTAAACTTGTTCAGGGCTCATTCCATATTTTGTGAATAGTAAAAGAACTGAATAATACAGAGGTAAGTAATAGTGAATTGCATATTGTTACCATGCATAATTTTGAATTGCGTATTGTTTCCATGCATAATTTTGAATTGCGTATTGTTACCATGCATAATTTTTCAAATACAAAAATTATTAAAATTGCTGTAATGTTTGGTTCAGATGAAGGTCACATGCCTAATATGTTGACTGTATAGTTTTTCCCTTATAAAACAGTAACTTCATTGTTTTGATGCTACATTCCTTAGTTCTGAAAGGGAAGTATATAAAGCCTTTAGAGATATGTACTGGATCTGTAAATCTTAATAGATTGTTTTATTTCAAATTTTAAAGCCCAAAGCAGTTGGTGAGCTTGTAAATGCAGGATAAAATATTCCTTTATTGTATTACCTGCATTTTACAGAAACTTGTAACCATGGTGGTATACATACTATAACTCTGAAAGTACTTATTGTGTCATTATGAAATTTGGCAAGCTTTCAATAAGCTTTAAAAGTCTCTCGTAAACAAAAAATCTTAATTTTTAATTAATCATTTTCACTAGAACTTTCTGTTTAACTTTATGGTATTAGAATGTTGACTGCTCTGAGTGCAAAGTGAATTTCACATTAAGATTAAAAATACTTTTCTTCATCTGAAAATTTTCAAATTTCATTTACATAATCCATGAAATCTCATAACTAAATATCAAATGTTTTTGATTTTCAGAAAACATTATATTTTTTCTGTCATTTTCTCCACTCTAACTCTATACAAGATTGGTCAATTTGACTGACCTCGTAACCACCCTAAAAAAAATCAAAATAAATCTAAATTACCCTTTCTTTCTAGAATGACTTCAAATTGTAGCATGAAACTTGATTTGTTTATCCCAAATAGCTTAAGTATCATAGAGTATACAGCTGTTTATACTGAACTTTTAATGTTTTATTTCCCTTTCAACCATGTCTAAACTAATATTCCCACTATAAAATTTGAAGTTACTTGGAAAACATGCAGCTCACGTTACACTATTGAATTACATAACACACAGGCTACTCACGAGATGCTTGCATGTGTATCTTGTGAAAACATTTTATTTTTATAATTATCCTTTCTTTTACCTAAAACGTTATAACCTAAAAAGTTTCTAATTTTTACATTTCAGTTACTTTTATAATAATAAATAATGAATACAAATAAAAAACAGAAAATAAAATACTTACCTGGGTGTTCTTTTTACTGTCAACTGTAGATGACACTTAACCCTACTTTTTATATACTAATGATACTACTGCAATAAATAATTTTTTATTTTATTAAATAATGCTTCAAAGAACACAGAATAAGAACATGCAAAATGCAGAATATGTCCTATAACTATCACCATTGTTCTGGCTTTCTAACTATGCAACAAGAGTCATTAGAAATTCATCTAAGCTCGTTGATGTCTTTCCTTTGGAAATAAAGCTTGAAGTGGAAGCAAAACTGATAACTGTCTGTGCAGAAAACAATGTAATAGAATACACCATTTGATAGATTAAACTTTGGCTTTCTACTGAGTATAAATAATATAGTATTAAACATCAGAAAGAACTATTGGCAATTTGGGAAAGAGATAATGTGACAGGTGGGCATGGCAGGAGGGGTCTCATTTTCTAGTTTATGGCTCTAAAAGCAAATAAGATTGAAGCTTATAAAATCATTATAATGGGTAATTTATGTTGAATTCCAAACTTCTTGGAGGGGTGATAAATAGAGTCGAGTAGAGGGAAGATACAGATAACATGTTAGAGTTCTCATAATAGGGAAATTTTTAAATATTTTCCTATAAAATTAAGAACTTAAAACATGCATAACATTAGAATTTGATTTATGAGCTATCGTTTGATGCCAAGTTTATTTGTATATATTGATAATATAGTAGTTTAATTAAATTTTGAATGTAACTCTGTGAAAGGTTGTGACATGCACACTTTGACCTACCCTAAGTGAAAGGGTTAACTTACAGTTGAAACTGAAATATATAATTCTCATGGATCTCATCAGCTGATCTCTGTTTGACTATATTATTCTAAAATGAACTTTGAAGTATTAGGTCATCAAGAAATTAATGTTGCAATTTGGAACACTTTCATTACCCCCTCCCAAAAAAAAATGTACATCACGTATAATAGTTAAGCGAACAGCATAAATGTCATGTCAGTGTAGCCTGTATAATGTGTAAAGTTTAGTATACTTTAATCCCTTATAGTGATGGCACGCGAGGAGACACACATTCAGCATGTAATGCTGTTTTAACACAAGAAGGGAAACAATGCCTCTGTAGCCACAAAGAATATCAAAGAAGTTTATGGAAGTGTTTTGAACGTTCGTAAGTGTCAACGACGGAATTGACATTGATGCTCTGAAGATGCTTGTTGAGTCTAACCCAAGGCAACACACTCGTGAAATGGCTCCTAAATTGCATGTTTCTCATGAAACAATATGTAAACATCTAAGGAATATGGTAAAACTCCACAAAGAAGCTGTTTGGGTGCCTCACGAACTCTCAGATGATCATCGTTTCCGACGTTTGAACGTTGCTTCGTCTCTTCTGGTGCGTAATGAGCATGAACCACTTTTGGACAGAATTGTCACCGGTGATGAAAAAATGGATTCTCTATGCGAATATTAAATGCCAAAAACAATGGCTCAGTCCTAGACAAAACCACTTATGACCCCAAAACCTGGACTACATCCGCAGAAAGTGATGCTTTACATTTGGTAGGATGTCAAAGGAGCAATTCATTTCGAACTCCTCAATCCACAGTGAATTGTCAATGCAGAGATCTATAGTCAGCAACTGGAACATTTAAATCAAGCCCTTCATCATAAACGCTCGTCAATCGGAAAGGTGTAATTCTTATCCATGACAATGCCCATTCATATGTGGCACGTTTGATGCAACACAAGATTATGAAGTTTGGTTGGGAAGTTCTCCCCCACCCACCATATTCTCCAGATATGGCACCATCAGATTACCATATATTTCGTTCGCTGCAACACCATCTTAAGGGGAAAACGTCAGCAAATGTGGAAGGTGTTAAAGAGGACATCTACATGTTTTTTTGTTCAAAGCCAAGTGATTTCTTTAATCAGGGCATTAACAACCTGATTGTAAGATGGAATAGCATCATCGATAAGAATGGAGACTATTTCATTTAATGAATGTTTTGTTTTGATATATAAGTTTTTCGGGTTTTTTCATCTAAAAAAAAGCGACATTAATTTCTTGACGACCCAATAGTTATAATAAATGAATTGTTGTAAGATTCAAAAATTATATTGTGCATAAAAATTTAATTATGAGGTTGTAGTTTTGGTATGCATACATAAGTATGTTTAAAGGTTGTTTAATGATGAATTGTTCCTGAATTTCATAAACCTGATATTTTCTAGAAACTTAGTATATCTGATCTCCAAGAAATTTCCCCTAATGTTATTCCATGGGAAGAAGAAAGCTACATGACTCCAAGTTGCCCTGATGATTCTCTACTTATATTTGGTAAGCATTTTATTATGTGGCATGTAAATACTATTTAAAGTTAATACTTCATGTTTAAAATGTGCTCTTTTAAAAAGGTTGTGATTATTTTTCTATTTGAAAAGTAACATGATAAATTTAATATTGCTCTTTTTTAAGAAAAATGTTTTCAGTGGAAGTAGTAAAAACTATATTTTTTTATTGTAAATGGTAAATGAATACATATTTATATATGACTAATATAATACTTTAAGCATCTTAGGTTTCAAGCTCTACACATGCTAATGACTGAAGAATGTTTTAGCAGCTGAAATATGTGTTCTCTTTTTTCAGACAGCTTCTTTATGGTTTTATATTTTCAGGACCAGGGATTGGACAATTAAGAGTAGGGTTCTAAGTGTTTAGAAGCTGAAACTAAACATTCTTTGAGACACAGAATCTTTTACTTCTGAGTTAATACACACCTCTATGCACAATTAAGCTATCTTCCCGGTGCATCTGCCTTAGAGATTTGCATGCCACCAACCTTTAGGCAACTCCCACCTAATCTCGCAAAGATTTCTTGTGAATTGTGAATTATTGTACAGAAAAAGCCTTCCATCATTTGGAGGTTAACACACCTCCTTGTACACTAATTTCATCTATGCATTTGCTCTACTGAATCAAACTATGAACATACTAGTTCATGTAACATCTACTAATTTCCTCACACAGGTTTATGGAGGTACGTTCACTGGAGATGATGTGATCATCATTGTGCATAAGGTAGTGGGTTTCCATATGAAGCCAGGACCTCCAGTTCCAGTCACTTTTTCAGGCATTCCTTCCCCTCATTTTGAAGGGGAAAATGAGGAAAACAAACTTTATTATTTTCTTCACCGGTTTATGCTTTGAAAACTTCTCTCTCTGTTGAAGAGAAACCTTAAACTTTCTCACATTATCAGGACTTAATTTCATGGTTATGCACAATGCTTTCTCATTCATCTATGTCATGTTATTATTATTGTTCCCTTCCTCTTAATCCTAACCCTAACTAATTTCATTTACCTTTCCTTGACAAATTACATCATACAACCTCAAACCTAGCCCTCCCATTCATCTTTCTGATTCTTATATCCTTGATTTTAGTCATTCTGAATTATCTTTCACAATTCCTATGTCTGGGATTGACCTTGCCTGTTTTTCTTCTTTTTTTTTTGGGGGGGGGGTAG